CCAGGCAACGCTGGCCGGGTGTTGCTAGTGAGAGTATATTGTTTCCCTTCTTAACAACTGCTTCCATTGTCTTGGAGATGAGTGGCAGAGGGGAAATGGGCCGATAGTTCGATGGGGCTGACTTTCACTGGTTCTTATGGACTGGGGCGACACTTGCCACTTTCCAAGACTGTGGTTGTGTCCCCGACGTCATGAACTGGCGGAAGAGCAAGCATAGTGGCACTGCAAGGTGCTCAGCATTGGCTTTGAGGACTCTGCCCAGAACTGCATCAGGGCCTGACACTTTCGAAGGATCAAGGGTCCTCTGCAATTTTCGGACCTCAGCAGGGCGGAAGCGGATACCTAGGAGATGGCTTTGGGAGCGAGGCTGGACAAAGGGGAATTCGGATTCCACCCAGCTCACCATACATACAGACGGCACTATGCTATATCAGTACATCTCGTCCCTGACCGCTCTCCCAGTTGGCCTAGCGCAGCTCCAGACTGCTGTGGATGCCCTCGCAGAATGGGACCAGAGCTGGAAGCCTGGATCACATTCGAGCCGACAAAGTCCCAAGTCTTGACGATTTCTCTTCACCGTCAATCCTGGCCGACTCCTCCAGCCACTTTCAATGAGGTGGCCATAGAGCAAGTGGAGGAGCTGAAGTTGCTTGGAGTGCTCTTCGATCGGAGCCTCTCCTTCCGCTCCCAGGTTCGACAAGTTGCAGTCCGTGGTCACCAACGTCTTGGCTTCATGAGGAAGGCTCTGCCAATCCTCGACAACAAAGCCAAGTATGCCGTGTACCGTGGCTTCGTCCGCCCAGTACAATCATATACTGTAATTTCACAAATTTTCGGTGTACTTTTATTTTCGGTACTTTCGGTGCGTCTGTTTCATACCTAAAATTTCAATACACCGAACAAACACTAACACACATAATCCAATAGGGAACTGCTTCTCTGTACCGAAAATTTCTGTTCACCTAACCTGGCCTGTTGCCCTCATACCGAAAATATTGAGCACCGAAAATTTCTGAAATTAGAGTACTAGAGTACTGACCAATTATTTCATGGCTGGGGCTGGGTGCGTCCCAGTCTACTCTGAACCGGCCGGACCAGGTACAGCACCAAGCCCTAAAGCTCATCGGCCCGGGGTCGTACCTCCCAAGCCTCACTGTTCGGCGTCAAGTCGCAGCACTAACATGCCTGTACAAGCTGCATTGGATTGAGAGTCCCCCAATCCTGACCACCACGACACCGCCGAGGGCAGTTGCTAACCAGCACCGGCACTCCACTCGCCACCAGCAAGAGGAGCGGCACCAGCACCAACACTGCCTGCCCGAGCCTGCAATAGAGCTCTCCGATCATTCCCCCACGCAACGATCCAAGACTGGAATCGTCTCCCATCTGCCCTGCGTCGCGATCTTCCAATGCAGAAGGGAATGCAGGCATTCAAGGAAGTCGAGACTGGCACTCAGCCACAGCTGCCCCTGAACCCCCTCCCTGAACACCATCTCCACGTTCACCCTGGTTCCCCTTTTTGCTCCCTTATATGTATCATCATTTTTTCTCCCATTTTTCACCCTCTGTACAAATGTACTCCCCCTCCCCCCTCCCTTGTGCCTACTCCTCCCCACTTTTTGGTGCACTGAAGTGTCGCTGACGCCAAGACATCAGGTCGGCAGTTACTCCAGTTTCACCACCACAGCTGCGACTGCAGCCACCTCCAACAAGCAGATGCTGTTCTTGAGGTCCGTGGTTTCTCTAAATAGAAGTGTCTAAGTGTTAAAGAGAAGGACCAAAAGCTTACAAGGTTTCGTTGTTTGTGTCCAACACTGACAAATACAAGCAAGATACCGGTGAGTCAGAGTGTGCAACAATTAGCACAACACTGACTGATGTCATGAAGTTGATTGTTCCAACTAGGAACACACGATTCTTGCCGAACTTGACACTTGACTGACTCACGACTGCCATCCGGAGCACACGAGGAGTACGTCGCACCTTCCCCTCGGCAAACCTGCAAGAACGCACCACTCCCTGCTCAATACATAGTGTTTCGGGGAATTCACCCCTCACCAGTTGAGCTTGAGTAGGCTGAGGAAGTTTTTAAGTTCGTACTGACTGATGTGATAGTGACATTCAACGACCTGATGCTTAGCTGCATCATGTCTAGTAAACTTTTGGTCCTTCTCTTTTTCCAATTTTAATCCTTGGCTCTCCATCTGAGTCCTGTCTAAGTGTTTGTATATCTCTAACTACATAATTCGGACTAGTTTCTACGCTTTGCGAATTTTTGAGGGCGTACCTGGCCATGCATTCTACATATTAAGTGAATGTGCGACGGGTTGTTTTCGACTTAGAAATAATAATGTGCACTGTTTCTACACTTTGGTGAGTTGTGCATGCATGTGTGCATGTGTGTGTGTGTGTGTGTGTGTGTGTGTGTGTGTGTGTGTGTGTGTGTGTGTGTGTGTGTGCATGTGTGTGTGTTTTGTTTTCTTCTTCCTCAGTCATTTTTTTCTTTATCTCCTCATCATCTTATTATTTGTCGCGAGGCAGTGGTTGTTTTTTTTTCATGCAGGGGAGGTATGTTAGGTACCTTCTCCCGTGCATTGCCTCCTGCTACCTCCTCCTGCTGGCCTGTGGGTACTCCGTACTTACCCTCACATACCTTTTGTTCCGTTGGTCTGTGTAGCTACTTGCGCGGCCATAATTGCCATAGCTACCCAGGCCCTTCAAGCTCTCTCCCTCCCTCCCTCCCTCTCACACGCACACGCACACGCACACACACACACTCTCTCTCTCTCTCTCATGCGCCCTCTCTCTCTCGCCGTCACAATGCAGCCTTTCGTTTCCTCTCTCGTCTATCCCTATAAATGTCGTCGTTCCACCTACCTGTTCCGTCTCCTGTTGCTTTACGTATGGGATTATTCGGGATTATGGCAGAAGTTGAGTTTTCAACACATTTACAAAGAGTCCATAACTCCCTGTGGGGTTATGAACTCTTGCATTTACTCGTACATGTAAGTTGCAAGTTGGGCCAAGAGGTGCTGGGCAACTCTTCACTGTAAGGATACTCCCGGGATGACAACCACTGTGTGGTAGGGCCTGGCGGATTCTGCCGGCAGAAAAATTGACAGAATTCGGTACCTTTTCTGGTAAGTTTCATGCATGTTTGGTATGTGGATAAAGAAATGGAGCAGAATCCGAGGAATTGCCCGCCATAAGGTTTGTATGGTTCTGCCAATTTCACTGCTTTTCGAGCAGAATCTGCCACCTTTTCGAGCAGAATCTGCCACCTTTTCGAGCAGAATCTGCCACCTTTTCGAGCAGAATCTGCCACGTTTTCGAGCAGAATCTGCCACCTTTTCGAGCAGAATCTGCCACCTTTTCGAGCAGAATCTGCCACCTTTTCGAGCAGAATCTGCCACCTTTTCGAGCAGAATCTGCCACGTTTTCGAGCAGAATCCGCCAATGCCTACTGTGTGGGCGCTCACAGTGTAACTTATTCCACACTCAATCCTTCTCCTGCTGGACTGAATACAACATGGACGTACTTCTAAGTTATGCTTCTCTTTTTTTCTTTTTTTCTACTGAAGTTCACATTCCCAAGCTGGAAAATAATAAAGAAGGACAATGGTACTGAGACTAGGACAAACATTACAGTATGGAACCTCACTAGAGACCTGAATTAGATCTCAGTCCCTACTTATACGAAAGGCATACAGCCAGAATACATATATACAGCCACAGACAGCTCCAACAATGAACGTGCAACTAAACCATCATACTACCCCCCCCCCCCCCCCGGTTGACAGCGTGGAGGGTACCCCCTGACAGCGTGGAGGGTACCCCCTGACAGCGTGGAGGGTACCCCCTGACAGCGTGGAGGGTACCCCCTGACAGCGTGGAGGGTACCCCCCTGACAGCGTGTAGGGTACCCCCTGACAGCGTGGAGGGTACCCCCTGATAGCGTGGAGGGTACCCCCTGACAGCGTGGAGGGTACCCCCTGACAGCGTGGAGGGTACCCCCTGACAGCGTGGAGGGTACCCCCTGACAGTGTGGAGGGTACCCCCTGACAGCGTGGAGGGTACCCCCCTGACAGCGTGGAGGGTACCCCCTGACAGCGTGGAGGGTACCCCCTGACAGCGTGGAGGGTACCCCCTGACAGCGTGGAGGGTACCCCCTGACAGCGTGGAGGGTACCCCCCTGACAGCGTGGAGGGTACCCCCTGACAGCGTGGAGGGTACCCCCTGACAGCCTGGAGGGTACTCCCTGACAGCGTGGAGGGTACCCCCTGACAGCGTGGAGGGTACCCCCTGACAGCGTGGAGGGTACCCCCTGACAGCGTGTAGGGCACCCCTGACAGCGTGGGGGGTACCCCCTGACAGCGTGGAGGGTACCCCCTGACAGCGTGGAGGGTACCCCCCTGACAGCGTGTAGGGTACCCCTGACAGCGTGGGGGGTACCCCCTGACAGCGTGGAGGGTACCCCCTGACAGCGTGGAGGGTACCCCCTGACAGCGTGGAGGGTACCCCCTGACAGCGTGGAGGGTACCCCCTGACAGCGTGGAGGGCAACATAACTTGATCTTGCCACACACGCAGACGCAGACACTAGTCCAACAAAATGAGGCACCCAATATAACCAAACACTTTTGACAGGTTTCTTGTTGCTTCACACGTTGATCCTTGGCGTTAGTGACACTCCTGCAGATGCGGAAATTTCAGGCTGAGCAAGTATAACGTGAACTGTACTTTCATTTCACAGTGGTCCCTCTACAATACGGCACCAGGTGTGCTACAGGAATTCTGCTGGATTAGGGAGGGTGCTGGATTAGGGAGGGTGCTGGATTAGGGAGGGTGCTGGATTAGGGAGGGTGCTGGATTAGGGAGGGTGCTGGATTAGGGAGGGTGCTGGGTTAGAGAGGGTGCTGGGTTAGAGAGGGTGCTGGATTAGGGAGGGTGCTGGATTAGGGAGGGTGCTGGATTAGGGAGGGTGCTGGATTAGGGAGGGTGCTGGATTAGGGAGGGTGCTGGATTAGGGAGGGTGCTGGATTAGGGAGGGTGCTGGATTAGGGAGGGTGCTGGATTAGGGAGGGTGCTGGATTAGGGATGGTGCTGGATTAGGGAGGGTGCTGGGTTAGGGAGGGTGCTGGGTTAGGGAGGGTGCTGGATTAGAAGATCTGATTTACTGCTGCACTGTGCATGAACAGGATACTCTGGTTGCTGGAAATTATGCATCTTCATAGGGGGTGCTGGTTTTTAAAGTGTTGGATTAAAGAGGGACGAGTGCAGATCTAAGTTAAAAGTCCAGCCATATTAAGCCCTACAGTATCGGTTGATAAAGCTTAGAGAGTTCTCACCGAAGTTGACGTGGAGGATTCAAACCAGTCCAGGTCATCCTCCATGTACGCAGCAGGACCTACGTCTCGAGCTGAATTCTCTCCGGACAACGACTCGGCAACACTCTGTGTACGTGTGTGTGTGTGTGTGTGTGTGTGTGTGTGTGTGTGTGTGTGTGTGTGTGTGTGCGTGTGTGTGTGTGTGTACAAGTGTGCGTGAGTGGATGGGTGAGAGAAAAAAGTGAACGCATGCACACACAGGCACAAGCGGGCACGCACGGGCACACACAGACGCGGATGACACAAAGTTCAGGAACCGCTGCAAACCTATACCCACTTACGGTGCGTCCAGACTACCGTGAATCCCGTCAAACCGTGAATGGCGATAAACAGTGATGGACATTCACACTACCGATAAACTAACGTTACCGTTACGTAAGTTGTGCAACTCTCACCGCAGCACTGAGAAGGGATTTTCCCTTTTTCCCAGCCTCAGCACTCTAGTTTGTACGTGAAGTGTGTGGGTTACAGTGAGGGCTGCGTCCCACCCGCCTGTGTGGATTCACAGGAAGTGTGAGTTACGAAGTCTGAAGAAAATGTTGAACGGCCTCTGCTGGGATGACGACTACACCATAGCTCAGTGGTTAGAGCATCGCTAGCTACAAGCGAGGGTCCCTGGTTCGAGTCCTGGTGGTGACAGTCAATTTTTTCTTCAGACTTTTCCCGTTTGTCTCTTTCCCTCAAACCAGTTACTATTATTATTATTATTATTATTATTATTAACTGGTTTTGAGGGAAAGAGACAAACGGGAAAAGTCTGAAGAAAAAATTGACTGTCACCACCAGGACTCGAACCAGGGACCCTCGCTTGTAGCCAGCGATGCTCTAACCACTGAGCTATGGTGTAGTCGTCATCCAAGCAGAGACCGTTCAACGTTTTCTTCAGACTTCGTATTATTATTATTATCAGCCTTTTCGTGTTGACATCGCCAAGCTTGCTTGGCGATGTCGACGCTTAGGCCAAACGGAATGAAGAATGAGGAACGATCGGGGGCAATGAGGTGCTAGTACTGGTTTTACTGTACTTCAAAAGACTGAACACGTTTCACGTTGAGTGTTCACTGCGTGGACGCTGCACACGCCCACACACATACTCACACCCACCTGGGATGATGTGCTAACACCAGCGGAAGAGCGCACTGAGCTGACGGCACTGGTCGCGGCCGCTAGCGATGACGAAGCGCCTGCAGTGCTTGCCGAGCCGGAGCTACCCTGAGCTCCAGCCGTGGATGCAACACCGGCGCGACTTGACGAAGCAGAGGAGCGACTGCTGTACACGACGGCCGTATCGCTCCCCGAGCTGAGGCGCGACGCATTGCTCTGGGCCGTCGACTGCTGATGGGACGTCTCGGCGGTGGTGCGAGCGCGCGGGTTCGGAGCGCGCGGCGGGGTGCGTGCGGAGCGCTGCGCCGACAGAGACATAGCGGCTGCTTTCACCCGGACGTCTTCTACATTGATCACACTAGTCGTCGTCGTGGTTTCCCCACTGCTACCGCTCCCGTCGAAAGATGAGGAGCTGGCACTACCGCTACTGCCAGGTCTAGCTGCTGCTCCGGCAGACGCAGCAGCGATGACACTGGATGACGATTTGGTCCCAGTCTTGCTGCGCGCTTCACCGGGCGTGTCGGACCGGGGCGGCCAGGGCTGGCTGCTTGCGTTGCCGTGGTGACGTGCGGAATCCCCGGTCACGGACGACGAGGACGATTTCGACGAGGCCTGCGTGCTCGACAAGAGGGCTGTGAGCTGCAGGGGTTTTGCTGCTAACGCTATGGCCGAGAACGGACCAGTAAGAGCGGTGGTGGTCGGAGTCTTGACTTTGCGCCGCCGTCTATTCTTCCGGTTGCGATCGTCGTCGCTAGCGGATAAGTCGGTGCTCGATTGCTGGCTTGTTCGGTCGCGTTCTGCTGCCGGTACGCTAGCTTTTCGCGCGGGGCTAATGACGCTAACACCTGCAGCGGCAGCTGCAACAACATCATCAACGCCGAGATTGCGCCGTTCGCGAGTGCTGCTCGCCTGTCGTGAGGAGGAGCTGCTGGTCGATATCGTGGTGGTCGTGGGCGCTGATGGTGTCGCTGTCAGGAACTTCAGCGCCGATAGGATGCTTTCCGGGCTGGCTGTCAAACGAAGAGTGGTGGCGGCCACCGTCCTCTCGATGACGGCTTCTTGCTGACTAGCTTCCTCCTGTTCCTTGGCCTCCAACTCCTTGCGAGCCTCCTCTTCCTGTTGCTCGCGTTTGCGCTTCTTCCGCTTGTCGCGCTTCCGAATGGCTGCCTGCCGCTTGGTCTCCTTGGATGCTTTCTCGGCATCAAGCTCATTAAACAGCAGCTAAGCAAACACACACACACACAGTCACAGAAAAGCAGATGTAAATACATGTACAGTCAACTTTGCTTATAAGTTATAATATAATAATATCTTTATTAGGATGACCCAGAGGCTTGTCGCCTATCAAGGGGTTCACCGCTTTGAAGGGTGTGCATGTACACGTATGAGCTAAAGTGAAAGTAGTGGAAAGTAAAAGTTGTGCAGCGTGAATGCGTTGGGGAGCACACAGGGGGGGTTATGTACATGGCGTGGGCGCTATAACGACACTCGGCGGGGCATCAGAAAAGTGTCCTTATTCGCGAAGTGTCGTTATACCCGAAGTCTCATTATAATTATGTATTACAGTGGGATGGGACTTTGCTCTGGGCATGGAAACTCTGCCGTTATTCACGAATTATCGTTATATCCGCAGTCGTTATATCCGCAGTCGTTATATCCGCAGTCGTTATATCCGCAGTCGTTATATCCGCAGTCGTTATTAGCAAAGTTGACTGTATGCACACTTGAAAGGAATCAAAAACGTTTCTGCCATAGTTCTCGAGTTTCACGGTTTTAACCGATCACCAGACAGCAACTTGAGTAAGATTTTCAGAAGATGTGATTGATTTAGGCTGCAAGCTTGGATCATGGCGCGAATGAATGATCCGGTTTGATATGGTGAATATTAAAATGATTGCGTGAGTTGGGTAAAAAAAAAGAAAAGAGTACTTTATTGTGTCCGTTGCCCGAAGGGAACTCACGACGGCCGCTAACACCCGGTAAACCCTACGAGTTGGGTGGTGGGGGTTTCTTTTTTTCTCCTTTTTTTCTTCTTTTTTTTACTAGAGCCACGTAAACCCGTCATGTGTGAGCCATGAATAAGGGGAGTGGTATGCAAACACTTTTTTTTATTTGTTTATTTTTATTTTTTTTATTTTCTTGGTCCCATCGGCCTCTTCATATTTGTGCAGCTGCACTGTTGAGCTTCCGCTGTAAAACAAATAATAATAATAATAATTGTGTGAATACATGTATGTCCACAGATACATTGAACTTCGTGAGTAACAACGGCGGCAATAATGACAGTTCGCTGGTAACGACGGATTTTCCATGCCCAGAGCAAAGTCCCGCCGAACTGTGCAATTTAACTTTGGATAACTGACGACTGTGTCTGGGTAACGACAATTCGCGAGCAGTGACGTGATTTCAGTGCCCCGAGGTCAAGTGCACTGCTTGAGTAACGACTCTCTGGGCATTTGACAGCTATTTCTTGTGCCTGCCATACCATGCTATCCTTTGCCACGACAGCAGGCGAAGCTCAACCAACCTAAGGACTAGACTTCCTTTCCCCTGACAAACAAGGGTTTTCTAAGAGGCCCTAGAGGGACTGACATCCAGGATACTTGTGATATAGTGGTTGCGACTTCGGCGATGATTTTTTAGGAATGGGTTTGCTCCCACACTGGAGCTCGCGCTATTCCTTTTACTTGCGTATCTTTTTACAGCATTACATGTTTCTCTCCATACAGTTAAAAAAATGTCTACCCATCCTCCACTTAGTATTCGCAGGACACTGCTGATCCAGTCTCAAAGAGGATTGCAACATTGGCATAAATCAACGGTCATTCTAAAAAAACCATTGGCAAGGCAGGGCCGGCGCCACGGGTACGGCTGGTGCGGCCATGGCCGTACCAGTTTTCACCAATTCCAGTGTCCATGTGATCATGGGCTGCTCAGTGTGCACTTGATTATCTGGAACTGTACCAGTAGTAATCTATCCTCATACACTTCTCGCTGGAGTCTCTACCTCAGCCTCAACTGTTCTTCTTGTCCTGTGAAATCTACTGTGATAGATGTCATCTCTGTTGCTAGAGGAAGTGTGCAGCTGAAACAAACAGATAATGCATAGAGGTAGAGATGTATCCTCCCAGGATTTTGAAATTGAGCACGTGGAAATAGTCGGTCCTGTAGCCGACCTGGGGCCGTATCAACCCCCAGGAGCTGGCTCCGGGCCTGCAAGGCTGGAGTTTTTCACCCAATGCAAGACTAGTAAGGTGACACAGAAGTATCTCAAAAGAAATAGTCCACACGACTCTGAGCAAGTCAAAGCCTCAATGGTACGCGTCCACCAGACACTTCTATGAGAGCATACAAAGAAACTACGGTTTAAACTACTTGTCCAGCAAAACCAGCAACAGAACAGAACAGAACAGAACAGAACAGAACAGAAGAAGCAGCCAAAGCCTGGAGTACGCTTGAGGAAAACAGTTAGACATTCACAGTTGGATGGAAGTGGATCGAAGCACACGGTGTATCTTCCTTCCAACACGCCACAACACTGCACAAACGAGAACTTAAAAGAAACTACTTGCTTCACCGACCAAAGCTACAGACGCTACTTCAAACAAGCGGAATATCTTTAACCTTTCCTCTCACAACCTCACAACAAACCAAACTGACCTCTTGCAACTGGGCTTGGATTTTGCTCTTCCACCCAAAAAGGTTCGAAGGAAGAAGTAATCACAAGAACAGCGATGTGGGCCAACTCACTTCCAGAGGATCGCCGTCACCTGCAAGAAGGTACAAGAAGCCCTTGACAACGCCGTTACACCTTCCCAGAATCTAACAAGACGGCAAGCTACAGCGGCACTACGTGACCTCCGGCAACTTCTAACCATAAAGACACTACCAGCTGATGAGGGACGAGCGGTTGTGCTGATGGACTTAGCGGATTATAACAAAATTCAAGACCATTTGAAGGGCAGTACGACGTATTCCCTCCTCCCGCGAAATCCAACGGATAGGTTAGTAGAAAAACTACATAAATCCCTACGCCCAATGGAGAGAAGAGAGGAAATATCTCGTTCTCAGAAACCTTTCTACAACCCATGGACGTGCACGGCGTCCTCACTTTTACGGTCGCCCTAAGATTCATAAGGACGACATCCCTCTCAGACCCATAGTAGCGGCTATTGGTTCACCACTCCACCGCTTAGCACGTTTCCTGGCAAAAATAATCCGGACCGACTCACAGGCAAGACTCCGTCGGAACTCACGTGACAAATTCTCAGGAATTCATCGCAAAAAAAATAACGGACACTGCCATAGGCACGGGCCACGTGATGGCTACTTTCGATGTGAAGAGCTTATTCACCAACGTACCCATGGACAAACAATGCAGATTCTAAGAGATAAACTGGCTGCTCAGGACCCTTGCGAGCGTGAAACGTCACTATCCGTACACAGCATTAGAGACGCTGTAGCGGGTCAGCGAGGCTTGTGGTGGTGGCCGTGTGGCGAGCTTGTAACATGGGTTGCACACACACACACACACACACGTTCAAAGTGCACAGTACGCACCCGTTATGCTACAAAATCGAAAGGAGGCAGACCTCCGAAGCGGAAAGCAGGATATAAAATCAGTGGAGCTGTCACTGCGGACACAAAACGCCAGAAATCTAGCGAGCTTGTTTCGACAGCAACCGTTACTGCACCCACCGTTACCATCACCGCTGCAACAACAGCGATAGGAACGACAGCAACCACAGCAGTAGGAATGTCAGTGACAAATACGAGTACATGTGCAACACAACTAGTCCCCCCCCCCCCCCCCCCCCCGTGCGTCCCAGCACACCCGAGCCTCCTGCTTACCACCCGCTTGAACACGGTATCGCGCTCATCGACGGTTGCCCAAGTGTTGGCCTCCTCACCATCCAAGCTGAAAGGCGATACCAGTGTCCAGTTGATTGGGAATTTGGTCAAGGCAAGACAGTGCGACGGAACCCTTGCAGTACGTCAGAGTCAACGTGGCCGGGCACAAGTTTATAAGCGGGTAACGGTTGGAGAGGTGTCGTCAACATCCGCTAGCGAACGTACGAAAAGGAGGAGACAGGCCCGTAGCAGCCCCATTTTGGTTGGTCCGGCAAGATCCGACTTCGGAGGAAGAAAAGAATCAATACATTTCAAGAAGTACAGTGTAGGAACATTCACAGGCACGACTGTCCACATGACCTTCAGCAGGGTCATACTCCTGAAAGTGATGATATGTACATGTACAGAGGCAATATGCTTTGGTTCTGCAAGAGTGCTCAATGCCTGATTCAGGCAGAGCGGCGTACACAAAGGCACACAATGAAAACCTTGGCAAATTTATTCCGTTGTGACTCCGAGTTTCATGGCTGAACCAATCATCAGACAATCATCGTTGTCTGATGATTGGTTCAGCCATGAAACTCGGAGTCACAACGGAATAAATTTGCTAAGGTTTTCATTGTGTGCCTTTGTGGATATGTACATGTATTATGTAGGTCTACTACCGGCACTACTATGTACTACCTCTATGCTACTCATTGCACACATCCTCATCAATGGTACCGGGTGGACATCCTGAGCTGCTCACATCCGTGAGGTCCCGCTTTTTTTCTTTCTTTTTTTTGGTCGAATATTGGTCCGGCAGCTGCCGGACCTGCCGGACCGCCTGCTACAGCCCTGGGAGAACATCCGAGCTGAGAGAGATAGGTAGGCATTGAGCATCATTATTCAGAATACATTATTTACAGTATTTGCTTTTTGTTTGAGTACAATGGTGCACACACGCACACACATGTACATGCGGCGTGTACACAAATGCATGCGACGTGCACACACACACACATGCATGCATATGGCGTGCACACCGTCAGGCGAAATTACTGGTCAGTCGGCGTCACGCATTTTTCACAAAAAATTGCGTTTCACCTGCGGGGAGAGTATGCGTGTACTCGAGTCTCATCCTGAGCACTTTTTTTCTCCGTTTTTTCAGCTCCAGTATAGCTGTATTTTTCATTGCAAAGCCGTCCTCGATTGTTGTGTTCGTTGTTCAAACGAAGTGGACATTCAATCATGAAGGCAGAGGACATAGGAGCCTGATTGGAGTTTCTCGTGGCATAGGACGGCCACACACAGACACTTTGGGATTTTCTGAATATAAAATACCGTACGCACGATGCTGAGATCATTTTGTGCGATATCAAATTGTTTGT